AGACTGGTCCCATGCCACTTTTGTGACTTAGGTTGTTTCCCTGTTTCTGTCACTCCTTCCCATGCCATGTTCTCATTGACTTGGTCTTTGCACTCAGTGCACGATTTGATAGTTGTGCTCCTACAATGTTTCAGTGCAATCGCACTAACCTTCCACTCCAACTACTCTGTAACCTATGAATTTCAGGGACATTATGAGTTGGCATCCTGGCAAGGAGGCTGATGACAATGAAGTAGGGGCCTGGTGGACATAACTCAGATGCAGTGTGTAGCCGTTGATTCCAGGAGGTGTTCCCCTGAGATGACGAAATTTGAAAAAAGCTCTCGAACAATTATCATAATACTATAAGGAAAAGATTGACAGTAGTGGGAATCTGCCGCGCGGGTGGGAGGGATTCATCAGCAAGGGTACCTACATAAACATTTGTTATACCAAACCCTTAATTGTACCCCACATCTTTAAAAGAAAAAAAGAAAAAAAGCTCTCAAATTAGTCCAAAAGGGAATAAATTTGGTACCATATAATATAAAGAATAGTAGATCTCAGGAGACCCACACTGTATCTTTCTGGGCCAATCACTGCCTTTTTCTTACCCTCAGTTTTCTTGTACGTAAAATGATGGAACCAGACGAAGTGTTTTCTTAACTTTAACTGCCAATTATGATTTTAATTAACTTCTGTGCCGAAGACCATGAATGGTATTTAATACTAAAGGAGTGGCAAACATGTATTTTTTTCTAAGCATTTGAGAGACTTCGAGCTTGAAAGAAATTGTTTTTCTTAAGATTTGTATTTCCCATTCCACTGTGCCTAGTTTAGTGCCTGGCACAAGAAAGGTAATTATTAATGTTTGCAGAAACTGACGACTGGAGGAAGAACTTAAGTATTGTATGGTTTTAGTCTTAATATTTTATGTACATGTACTATCACTTCCATTATGTAGTTCTTATATAAAAATCCAGTTCAAGCATTTGAGTAAAAATATCTTTTTTCACTTGGTCTAGAATGAATAATCAGATTTTTTGTTTTTAGTTGGTGTCTCACTCTGCCAGTAGCAGTCAGAGCTCACTGCAACCTCGACATCCTGGGCTCAGGCCATCCTTCCACTTCAGCCTCCTAAGTAGCTGGGACCACAGGTGTGCACAACTGCACCCAGTTAAATTTTCGATGCTTTACAGAGACGAGACCTTGCTATGTTGCCCAAGCTGGTCTTGAACTCCTGGGCACAAGCAATCCTGTCACCTCGGCCTCCCAAAGTGCTGGGATTACAGGTATGAACCACCGCACCCTATCAGTCAGATGTTTTAAACCACCACAAATCATTCGAGGAACAGGGAGAGTTATAAATGTATAACTTAGTAAAATAATTTAAAAAAAAGATAACATGTTTGCATGGAAGACTCATGTAGTTAGCATTAACATAAAAGAAGCTGTTGTTTTTCAAACTCCATCAAGTTAGGAGGGCAACACTAGTTCATAGTTCCAAGTGTAAGCCTCTCTTATCCCAATTCCTTTGGAAACCCCTGCCTCTTTTAACATGAAGTTGTATAATTTGGCCAACTCATGTGCCTTTAAAGCCCACAGGGTCAGTGGAAAGTCTGGATAAGCTGATAGTTGTATATTCAGACAGTGATTTTGAAAGTGCCATTTTAAAAAAGCCACACATTTCATTTAATTCTAAGATGTTCCTAAACTGGTAGCTCTAGACATAGTAAGCTAATGACAAATAGCATAGACGTGTGTGTGTGTGTGTGTGTGTGTGTGTGTGTGTGTGTGTGTGTGTGTGTTTTTTTAAGGACTGAGTCTTTAGATTTTCTGACTTAGTGGGCAATTTTAAAGTGTTGAGTAATGCATCTTCTCACAGTCAAGCTTTTGTGAATCAGCAGACGTTTTGCAGTCTGCAGCCCCTCCCCCATTACCACTTCTAAACTTGTCCCCAGTCACTATTTTGAACTTTTCTCCTTTATCATCTATCTTTCCTATCCTGTACATACAAGACTATAATGATCTAGGTAAAAATGTGTTTGACCCCTACATAATTTTTTTTAAAAGCTTTTCTCAGGATGTATCAGCATGGTTGCTCCCACCATTTAAAGCAATGCTGCTATATTGTCATCGTTATTTTACTTTATATAACTTCTTCAATATACCTCTTAGGTTACCTTGCAGATCATACTTTAACTTGCTGATCATAGAAAGATGAATTTCAACTGATGTTCATATTGTTCCTTTTTTTATAGGTGTACTTTTTATAGAAGAATGACATAAAGAAAAATTAGACTAAACTGTTGAAAATAAATTTAATTACTATTCATTTCTCTTTACATTTCCTTTTACATACACATCAATAGCACTCATAATGCCAAAACAATATTCATAGTTGCTTCCAGTATAAGAAAAATAGCCACTGTCCCAAAACAGATTATAGGGCACCCAAAATCCAGATGGGAACTAAAATTTTTGTCACATATCCAATTTTCCCCCATATGGTGACAGTCCTTTTCATACTTGGAAATTATCAGCATCTTAAAATTTTGCTCAGGACCATTGCTACGCCTAAGAATGGAGTTATAACAACTGCCCGGGGATGTCTGAAATTTAGTTTGTACTCAGCTGATAGCAAAATGCAAGTGAACATGTGAAAACCACTCCCAACACTTTGAATCTCTGATGATGAGCTCCATTCTCTACACTGTTCTCACCCTTTGCATGCTAATCAGATGAGGTATCTTTTGTGGTGAATCTGTCTCTACAGGCTTCTGACCATTTCCCTGCGTCTAGGAGGGATCTGTCACTCTTCACTGTCTCTTTCCTAATAATTTGCTTTCCCTGCATGCTTTGCTTGTTCACAGGGATGAGTTACTCCAAAGAAAGAAGACCTCACTGAAGGCCTAAGCCCAGCAGCCAGGCCCTGTCATTAGCTCTGAATACTGACTTCTAGGCATTCAGCTGCTCACGATATTCCAGAGGCACAAGATAGATGTGTCTGCTGCTGGCTTAGCATGCTGGCCTGTCCTGAGACTAACGTGACTTGTAGAATTGTTATCTGGTCACTGACAGATATGCTTAGTGGTGCTGACTTTTGACCCCTTTTTTTCCCGTATCCCCCAAAATGGTCAGCACAGCAAAGGAAATTTCAAAGGACAAGAGAGTGGTCACTCTTTCCAGTTGGAAAGAATATGTAGCTCAGACAGCCTCATTATCAGTCACATCTGGCCTCCCACCAATCGGAAGACATTTCATTTAGTGGTCTAGTGCTGCCTGTCCCTTCCTCCTCTGGATTGGATGGACATCAAAGACTTCAGATGCCAGTTGTCCTCCTTTCATTTCTCGAGTCTTATTAACGTGTTATTTAAAAATTCACTTTATTTCCTCCATTAGAAAAAAAAAGCCTTTGTTCCTAAAGATAGAGGATCCTTCAGCCATTCTGACTTACTTAGAAGGAGAAGGTAAAAGGCATTAGCTCGATTTAAGTACCAAAGACTGTTATCACTGGTGACCTGTTTAAGCAGGGCATATCATGGGGATTAATGACACACTCATAGGAGCTGATGACCCACAGCAAAACCAAAAGGCCATTAACCCCCATCAGTTATTTAATTCCCGGGGAAAACCCATTTGGAGGTAATTATTGCTGTTATAACCTGGAAAAAAAAAAACAGAAGTGCATGAGTTATATTAATGAGCTCTGATCATTTTACTTTATAATATTAGTCCAAGAAGAAAGTAAATGGATTTAAAAATATGAGTTTCCCTTTTTAATTTCTAAGGAAATGTTCTTTTGGAGAAATTGACAGTGTCAAGACAGGCCCACCCATTTGGTACATTCCCTTCCTTATTCTCTATTCAATTTCTAATCCCAGCCATTCTGAACTAAAGAGACATGGATATCAAGTTGTATTGTCTTAGAGTGTCATCTCTGTACCATTTACTCTTTACAAAGTAAATATTAATGTTAAGCCAGCCTGGACCCAAGAATTTCACGCTACTGGTACAGGTTTAGGTCTCTTCTTCCCTTTCCCCTTTACTCCCACCTTTGTTCAACAAAATTAAGCAAGCATCCATTATATGCCAGGTACTGCATTCTATTGTGGGTAGATGAAATGGATGTACAATTGATATGAAGGACAAGGAGGTTAGAGGATAAGATTTCTGAGAGGGAGAGAGTGTATTAGTTATTTAGGACTGTTGTAGCAAATTTCCAACAAACAAACTTGGTGTCCTAACAAGATTGCGTGTGTGTGTGTGTGTGTGTGTGTGTGTGTGTGTGTGTGTGTAAGTTCTGGATATAAAAAGTCCAAAATCAAGATGGTCAGGGCCACATTTCCTCTGAAAGTTATAGGAATGAATCCTTTCTTGCTTCTCCCAGCTTCTAGTGGCCCCAGGTGTTCCTTGGCTTGTGGTTGCACTACTCTAATCTCTGTCTCCAAATTCATATGACCCTCTCTGTGTCTTCAATCTCTCTCTTTTCTCTTATAAGAACATCATTCACTGGATTTAGGGACTACCCTAAATCCAGAAGGATTTTTCATCTTGAGATTCCTAACTGACTAAACCTGCATTGCAAAGACCCTGTTTCCAAATAAAGTCTCATTCACAGGTTCCAGATGGATATATCTTTTGGAGATCACTATTCAAAATGCTACAGGAAGCCAATTCCAGGTAAGACCATTAGAGAAGTCTTAATAAAAAGAGACAACCTTTATTTTCAGACATGTAGAAGAAAGGTCTTTATAGGTGGAGGTAAAAATCATGAGGATAAGTACAGGACAATGGAAGGGTTGGGGCAGGAGTGGGATTAATGTAGGGTTGTATGGAAATCAGCTTACCTTGGCATAGAATGTAGAGGGCAGAGCTGTGAGGGACAGGTTTAAGAAGATGGACAGAGATCATATTATAACTGTTGGCCTGGGGAAGACTGAACACTAAAATCAGATAGGAGCTTGTGAAAGTGCTTATAGGAGAGAGATAATGAAGATTTGATTTAGGGCAGTAGCAAAATGGCCCGACAACTTGTAGATACCATAGATGGAGGGAACAATGTGCACAAGAGCACTGAGGAGAAGGAGGCAAAGATGATGCCCAAATGTCAAGCCTGCATGACTAGGAGTTTGGTGAAAGTGATTTTAAAAAATAAGCAACAAAGGAGGAAAAGCAAGTTTGAGGCAAAGTTATATAATATGACATTGGAGAGCCAGGCAGAAATGATCCTCAAACCAGGTAAGATTTCAGGACTTGAGTTCAGGAGGGCATAACGGACTGATGATTTGAGTGTCTTTTATGTAGAGTACTCTTAAAGGCCCTTAGATTGGCTGAGGCAGCCAGGGGAAAGTTTATGGTGCTGGAAAGAAAGCAAGAACAAAGAGACCGACCGTTGTGGACTTCCTAATCTGGGGGTAGGGATGGTGTGGGATAGGAGGAACAAAAACCGGGAAAGAAGGTGAGGTCATGGCAGCAGAATTCAGAGCAGTTGACTCCTATTTTTTGAAGCCAAGCAGGAAGGTGTCAGGAAAGAGAGACTGGTTTGGGGTTCTGAAAATGTTTTAGAAATGGATGGTGGTAATGAGTGCACAGCATTGTGAATGTATCTAATGTCATTGAACTGTACACTTAGAAATGGTTAAATGGCAAATTTACTATTATATGTATTTTAACACAATTTGAAAAAATAATAAAGAAATATACCAAAAAAAGTGGGACAGGGCCAGGTGTGGTGGCTCGAGTTTGTAATCTCAGTGCCTTGGGAAGCTGAGGCAGGAGGATTACTTGAGGCCAGGAGTTTAAGACCACCTTGGGCAACTCTCTACAAATACTACTATTACTACTACTTCTACTACTACTACTAATAATAATAATAATGTTTTTAGCTAGGCATGTTGGCTTGCACCTTTAGTCCAAGTTACTAAATGGCTGAGGCAGGAGGATGGCTTGAGGCCAGGAGTTCGAGGCTGCAGTGAGCTGTGATTGTGCCACTGCACTCCGGTCTGGGTAACAGAGTGAGATCCTGTATCTTAAAAAAAATGTTGAACTGATAAACAATATCACATCTTATAGGGGTAACTGGGAAGAGAAAGCAAACCACTTTAAAAATATTTGCCCGAGAGAACCATGATTAGAAAGGTCATTTGTTACCACTCAATCACCTTGCTTTATTTGGCATTTTGCAAAACATATTGGCACAGTGGGTTACTTACTGTGGTGTATATCTTGACATTATAAAAAGATTCATGGGGTTGTGAATGCATGGCTTCCTTAGAGTCAAAGTGGTCACACACATTGGAGCAGGAGAAGATAGCTATGAGATATGTTTCTAGAAGTAGAGTTTCAATGCTGATAGATAATAATATGCTAATTGTTGTAAAGATAGAGTGGCAGTTTCTTTAAGACTTTGACACCGTCTCTGGATTGATACAACAGCTGCACCATATTGGGAAGCTACATTCTGTCTTGGCAGATGAACTGTGGCAGTCGCTAGCAGATATCTTTTGTGGCATACTGAAATATCAGTTTGACTCTAACTTTTTTTTGATGTGTTGGTTGGCATTGCCCATAGGAATGAGCATTTGCACCATAAGTAAATTTCAGCATGGTCCTATTAGATGTATTGTAATAAAATATGCATTTCCCCAAATAGATCCTATTTAAAAATAATTATTCAAGGACAATAGAATATTAATTGACCTCAGGTGAATTACAAGTATATGACAAGAGTTTAGTAGTTTTGTTTGTGTGTACGTGTGTGTGTGTGTGGTGTGAGTACTCCAGAATGTTGGAGGAACAGGAAAAAGATAGTGATAACCTCTCTATGCCTCAGTTTCGATTTTTTCATCTGTAAAATGAGGGGACTGGATCGATTAACCTCTGAGAGTACTTTCAACTGTAAATATTATGTGTTTCTAATATTGTGAAAAGAACGGCAACAGACATGCCTAAGAGTTTGAGATAAAGCTTTATATGCTTTCAAGTGGCAAATTGTTAGCTTAATGAATCTAAACTTTAAAAAGTCAAATATTTGATTAAGTGTATCATTAATCTGTTCCTATTAGGTGATTGAAACAACTTGTTTATTAATTTCCAGTTGGAAATATGTAAATTTGTAATTTAATTAAAATCCCATTATGTATTTTTTTTAAGACAAAAGGCACATTGATACAGAGTTTGATGAACAAGGCAAAGACAACACTATAGAATCAGTTCAGCTGCAAGGATGATAATCTGTTACCAGGCTCTGTGCAGAGGGAGAGTTGGGCCTGTGGCTAAGCTACCAGGCCCGCCGGAATTGTGGGGAAGCTTTTTATGGAATGTGAGTTTCCTTGCACACTGACATGCTGTCCTCAGTGAATCTGAAAATCAGAACTTTAGGAGTGAGAATCCTTCTCAAGATTATCAGCCTCTGGTCCTGAGACGTATCAGGTATTTGATCCACAATTCCTGAACCTGTGTGGGCCAAGCTAAGTTTGTCTCCCTGTGGGTAAAGATAGACTCTCCTTCTATGTATCTACTTCCCTATGGGCTCCCTAGGACATCGGCTCCATCTTCCTCAAGATGCCCTTCAGGGATTGAAAGTCAGAGTCCTATATGCCCCTAGTTTTGTCTTTTTTAAGGCAAAATATCCCCAGCCTTTTCAACAAGTGTCCACAGGATGGCATTTTGAGTGCACTCTGTTTTTCTTGAAGCTGATGCATTGCATTTTGCCTCGTTCTCCAGGGAGCACAAGACCTCAAATAAATATCCCCTGTGAGGAGTCTTACCAAGGCCTCTCTGGTCAGGGTCACCAATTAAATTTATTTTCTGTAGGGACCATAATGCAGTTCACTGAAGTGCCTTGATGTGGGAGGCGGTTTCCTACAAAACTTCCCAATAGTTACCCATTTCCCAGGAGCTGTTTAAGTCCTCTCTCTGGACTTAAAATGTTCTGGGTAAATGAGGGGAGCATCGATTCGGGAGATATAACAAATAACATTTGCCTTTGCCTTTGTAATGTAATTACTAGACATATGGGGAAATATTTTTCTTCTTTGTTTTCCTAAAGAACTTCTCTCGCTCTGGCAGGTGGGAAACACTGAAGGCCACCTGAGTACAGGCTCCAATGGTGTTCCTATGGTGAGAAATAGCTTGTCTCCCCCACTTTCGCCATCCCTACCCCTGCCTAAGTGTAGAACATTTAGAATATTTCTTTTGGGCATTCCTTCCATTGGCAATTGCAGACACATGACCTCTGCTGCTACTCTTGTGAACATTCCTGTTCCCAGGCAGCCTGTCCTCCTATTTACTTTTTATACTCATGCTTTTCGGCAGAAAGACAGGAAAAGCTGCTGGTGGAGGCCAGAATAGATGCATCCTTGCCAACTTTTGTAGGCCCCTCTCTCATGGCTGTTCAACAGATCTCTGGGGCAGCCTGACCTCTTCTTCACAGATATTATTCCAGACCTTTACTATCTCTGGGAGCCGAGGTCCTCCTCACTACCTCCTACCCAGGCAGATGAACTCATCTTCTATTTATCTGATAAGATCAAGGCCATTTGGCCATTTGGCATGAGTTTCATAACCTTTCTTCCTTTCCACCTGTCATAGTGACTCTTGCTGCTTCCAAGTATCTGTTGTTCATCAGCCCCTTCTCTCTTTCTACCTCAGGGGGAAAAGAATCCTTCTACCTTCCCAAATTGACCTCTCAATTCTTGCTCTGCTGTTGTTCTTGGATGCACAAGAGCAACAGGATGTTCTCTCCTCTTTTGGGATAAGGTTCAGGGTTCCAGAAAATTATGTTTATCTAAAGACTGAACACCAGAGAAACTATAGTCCAAGTAAAAGAAACAACTTCTCAGTCGAAGAATGTAGAGAGATTATGTTGCTAAATGATTTCTGATTAAATCCGTGAAAGAGAGGAAAATATTTTGCATAAGATAACTTTAAGAAAATTTTTAGAGTCAAAAAGATATATATCATATATATATATATATACACACACACACACACACACACACATATATATGTATGTATATATAAACACATATATATATATATATAGCTGTCAAGCACATATATAAGAGACAAGGACAAGGCCCAAGCCTGACTGATTGGACTAGAAAAGATACAGCAAGATATTTTCAGATCTAGACAGTCCAGTAAGCACACAGACAGTTCAAAGAAAAATTATCCAAAGGGGCCAACTCCATATGATCTTTGTTCCACAGACCAAAGAGCCCACAGACAACAGAGAAACAAAAGGGACCAAATGACTGTAGAATGAGTTGTGGGATACCCTTTTGCTAAGGAGATCATTCTGGACTGAAGTTAAGCCACTTTTTTATTCTCAGCTCCATTGAAAGTTGGGGGGAGGAGGACATGACCCAGAACCCGAGTCAATGAGAAACTGTCTCATGACGGTCTTTCAGAGGAGATAGGTAACTACATTTGGATGCCGGGCATCTGCTCATGTTTTGGGAGATTACAAGACATTCCACTAAGACTCAAATCAGCTATACTTCTGATTATGTGGGTATGCGCAAGGTCACCAGAGTGTCATGCCAGAGCCATGCCCCAACAATAGCAAGAGACCAGGTAAGGCATAGATGAATATTGTAGTGTCTCAGTGTTTATTTAAAAGCCTACCCCTGTAAAAAGAAGGACTCTATGGAAATGCAACCATTATTTTTGGTTTTACTGGTCTATGAACTCAGTAGTGAGAGACCAAAAGACTAATTTCTACTGAACTTGAATGCTAACTTAATAATCAAATAAATACCTTCATGTTTAATGCTTAAGCAGAATTTCATTAAAATTTCTTTGACGTTAAGCCAAATTTTGAAGTGAATTGGAACTGGTTTGCATTTCTTAAATTGGTCTTTCTTTGGAAATAATGAAAAAGTGTTAGAATCTTGGCCGAATTCCAATGACTGTGACTCAACTTGTTAAAGTTAAATTTTAATATTTACACATTACATAGTATAATATTTATACTAGGCAACAGATTGGGAGTGTAGAATTCAAAATAGGATACACTTTGACTTGGAATTACAGTATGGTAGTCATTACACCCAGAGAATTGAGGGTTATCTAATACTGAGACTGGAGCAGCACAAGCAAAGAATTTTGAAATATAAACACTGCTAAGCGTGCAGTTCTAGCTTGCACTTGTGTGCTGGATTTCATGACAATGTGTGCTTTGTACACTGACTGATCATCGATTTTACTGTTATTGAGATACTTAGAGGAAAGTTGGCTTGTACATGACACCATCTACTAGCTTGGATGATTAGGAAGTCAGTGAGACTGTCAGCAACTACTCTGAACATGTCAGGAGCCAAGCTGGCTCATGGTTGGAAGGTAGGGGAAGTTACACAAAGATGAATGCAATCATAGAATCCCAGAATTTAAAAATTGCTTAGGATACTGGAAGTGCTCCAGTATAAGCTCCCTGATTTACATGCGAGGACACTG